TTGTAAGAGTCTGAAGTAGAACTAGTTAAAGTAAATATATTAGGATGCAAATCATTAACTCTTTCCAATGATCACTTATACTTTGCTTATATTGCTTCGATAAAGTCAATACTGTAATAGTCTGAGTAGTAGAAAAGAAAATAATCAATATTGTAAGAGTCTGAAGTAGAACTAGTTAAAGTAAGTATATTAGGATGCAAATCATTAACTCTTTCCAACGATTACTTGTACCAAATTTTCTTGAACAAAACTTGCAATATCTCAAAATTCTACTAAGTAAACTACTTTTGGCCACTTAAGTAAAGTTGTTCTACACATAGTTTACATCTAAGTAGCATAGTTTTATATTTTGTTACTAGCTCTTTAACAAAATATTTTAACTGAAGTATAGGAATACTCTACAGACAATATCTCAAAAATTTATTAAGTATTCAGCTCTTCTTAATTAAAACAAAAAGAATCAGCATACTGTCAGCTTCATTTTGATATATAATATATCAAAAACGAATTAGTATTTAATTTTTTATTCAAAAAACTTTAAAAATATTTTGCAAAAAAACTTTGCTCTTTTTTTGCAAATTTTTTAGGAATTCCTCTTGACCTAGTTAACCCCAATATGTTTCAAACAAGTTACAACAGGCTTACAAATCAATATTACACTAAAATTATTAAATTTTATAAAATAACTAATTTCTAATTTTAGTTTCTTTTTATTTTTAGTACAAAACCTTGTTATACATTCATTAACTTTTTTGTAATATGTTACTGTTAATCACCTCTTATTTGTCATATTTATTTATCACATTCTTATTTATTATACCCTTATTTATCACACCCTTTATTCATTATACCTCTTATTTGTCACTTCCTTTTTTTATCAAATCTTTGTTTTTTCTTACTTTTTACTTTTTTTAAATTTATTATTATTATTATATTTTACTAATATGCCTACTCTAGTTAATTCTACTTCAGATTCATATAATATTAACCACTTTCTTTCTTATTACTCTGATCACTTTGGTATTGATTTTATTGAAGCAGATGCTAGTAAAGCATGAGTACTTATTGCTTGCTTTGACCCTCAACAATATGAGCCTGCAAAACAAAACTGACACTATATACATGTATCTAAACAACTACAAGTAGCAACTTGTTTATACAGAAAATACTATACGACCTTTATCTCTTAAAGATTTCAATATAATGATTCATCTAAACCATCTACTCCAACTCCTGCTACAAACTTAGCTCCAATTACTAATCTTAGTACTAAAATATTCAATATAGATGAACTCTTACCTCCATTCCTGATTAAACTTACTTCTCAGTCTACTTCTACTATTCTCTTTCTATCTGTAACATTTATCTTAGCTAAAAAAATTGACTTGACTACAACTTCTATTGCTGCACACTCTTACTATCTACATACTTGTACAATCTGCTACTTGCAAAACATTACTTGTGCTATTCTCCCTGATAAAAAATATATTCATAATTCTACTGCAATTATTATTAAAGAAAGATTAATTCACAAATCTTGCTTTACAAAAATGCCAATTTCTTTTTTTAAAACTAAACCTCTTAACTCTTACTAAAAATTTTTTGTTAGTGCTATTAAATTTATTCACAAATCTAAACAGAATAAATAAAACTTTCTCAAACAAATTAAAACATCTTTCTCTATTAACAAATCTCAATTTACGCATGATACATCCAAAGATCTTAACTAGTTTTTAAACTATCCTATCACTGATGAAATAAAACTATACTCAAAATTAAATACACCTCTCGCCTTTAAAATTTTTAAATTTATTCAACCTTATCTTAAAGATTTCAAACCTGGTCAAGTACGACAACAAAATAATCAACAAACAACAACTAACACTGAAAACTTAGACCAAGAATCTAAATATTCATTCAAATATCTCTTTCACTCTTTAGCTGAACAATATCCTGAATTTTTAACAAATTTTATTTATGAAGCTAATCCTAAAATTAGTTGTAATATTGAAATTCCTTTCAATACTCTCTATTCTACTTTTATTTCACTTCTTGAGTCTTTTACAAAAGTCTTATTTACTAAACTTAACTACAAACAAATCTTCTGCTCTTATACTAATATTCCACTATATACAATTCCAAACTGTATTTATATAGTATTAAACTTTACAAGACTTTATCTATATCTTAACTATTCATATAAAACAATTAACTATACACAATTTACTAAAGATTTAGATATTAAACCTATTCAATTTCAACTCCATTATACCTTCTATAAAGACCAACTCGACAAACCTCTAGTTACTATCAAAAGTAATCAAAAATTTAATATTTATGTTGACTTAAACATTCCTAAACAAGAATTTTTAAATTCATACAGAATAATTTCTTTAAAAGAATGTAACTATACCTTTGCAAAATGGTATAATTCTTTTTTTGAAATTTATAGATGACAATTTATTTTTATTGACAAAACCAAAACAATAAATTATATCAAACACCAAATCTATCTTCAATTTTCTTTTTATCAAAAAAAACTTCTTCTTGATTCTTTTGAATACTCAATTCTACTTCATTCCAAGAATACTCCAAACAATTAACCAAAGCAATACTCTTCTATCTTCATATCTGTGAATTTGATACTACTCAAACTTATCCTCTAATTTCAGCTAATCAAAAACATGACTTCTCTACTATTTCAAAAAATATTTTCAAAAACTCTTATATTCGTTTTCCTATTACTTCCAAAATAAATATTGATAGAGAGAATACAAAACTAAGACTTATTTACCCTACTCTTAACTGTGAAATATTTGATAAAAACCAAAAACATGAAACTAGTTTAAAAATTCTAACTCCAATTTCACTTTTAAATAAACTAGCAGATAATGCTGAAAAAGAATTTATGTCTCTTAACAACTTTATAACTAATATTAACTGACGAACATACTACTTTTATACTTATGTTAAGGCTTTTCTCTTAGCTGCTAGCAGAAATGATAGCATCTCTGAGCTAAGCCAATATGATACAATTATAAAAGTTACTCAAAACTCTATTGATACACACTATCTTACACGTATCCTTACATTTTATTATATTTCATATCAAAATCTCATTAGCTTACCTCAAATTTATTCAAAATATAAAACAACCTTCTATCCTCAAGCTCAACAAATAATTTATGACAAATTTAAAATTAACTTTAAACAACCAAAATCTATCCAACAATCTTTTTTCTTCAATCTACATACAATTTAAGATTCTTCTTCTTTACAACAAGAAGATAACCTAACTGAGACAACTATTAAATCAATACCTAATAGTCCCAAACTCTCATATGCAGAAAGTACTACTCAAAATTTCTAAGTTTGTTTTCTGTAAATTACATAGATATAACTACCACCTCTAAAATAATGATATCCTCCACTTCTTGTAGGCTATTTTTAGAGAAGAATATAGTAAGTAGACAGATGGAAAAGTCTATTTACACAAAGGACCAATATTATGATAGTCAGACTCAACGTACAGAGCAGACTTTGGTATCCTCTGCAACTGTAAAAACTGGGTATACAGTGAGTGCTTTTACAGAAGACATCCAACTATCCTCAGCCTCCAATACTTCAACATCTACTGAGGAAAACTTATGCTATACCTAATTTTTACAATATCATGACTTACCAAAACTTAACAGTCTACAAACACTTAAAACTTTTTACTTTCATCTCCAACAAAACAATTATCTCCATATACCAAAAATCTCAATTAACTCTATGAAAACTGAAACTCATGTCTATTTGAATCATAATGAATTACTTCTTCCAAATCATTTTTTGATATCTACTAACCAATTTCTCCAATATTATAATTTACCTATAAAATCTACTTCAGATAATATAATTAATACTAACAATAATACTAACAACTCTAATACAATCTCAATAGAATACACTTCTTTTCTTCTCAAAATTGGCTCAATAAATATCAATAGCTTCTTACAAGCTAATAAACAACTAGCAATAACTGAAACTCTCAACAACAATTCTTATGTAATCTTAGAAGTTTCAGAAACACACCTATCAACAAAAAAAGGAAACTTCCTCAACAAAAATATAAAGAATTACAAAAGCTATTGAAGCTCTTACACAAATTCTCATCAAACAGGTGTAGGTATATTTATCTACCAAAAAATTGCTAAATACATTGCCCATACACATAACCATAAAGAACATATTATTGGCCTTGATCTCTATTTTAAAAACCAACCTATAAGACTCCTACAAATTTATATTCTAACACAAGAAAAAAAGCAAATCTGTAAAGAAATCCAGGAAAATATAATTTCTTTACTACAAGATCAAAACTATAAAACAATAATTATGGGTGACTTCAATAGGGTCCCTAATGTACGTATTGACTGAAATCCATCTAAAAAAACATCAATACCAGAACTCAAACTTATAAAATATTTAATTAGTCACTAATACAAAGATAGTTTTTGAACTTTCTTCTCTAATTCCAAAAATTACACATTCTAATGCCAAAATATTCAAAGCTGAATTAATTAAATTTGGACCAATTTATCAATATACTTTCTGATAATATACTGAATCTGATTACAACATCACAACTATTGAAATCTCAATAATAATCAACAAATCTAAACCCCAAAAACAACAAAAACGAAAATGTTTTCTCTGGAAAAACTGTACCAAAGAAAATACTGAAAACTATACTAACCAATTAGTACAAAGTCTTCAATGTATTTCTTCTAAAATTACTAATATTTCAAATCAAAACCAACTTAATAATTGCTAGAATCAAATCTATAAAGCAATAATTAAAGCTGCAACCAAACATATTCCTTTTAAAAAAATTAAAACAATTAAAGAATTACAAGAAAATCTACCAACTAAATATTTACCTCTTTATTACAGATACAAACAAATTCAATATATCAAAAACCACTTCAAATCCTCAAACTCTAATAATCTAATAGTTAAATATCTATCAGATTATCCAGAAAATACTCTTAACTCTAATACACCCTCTCTTGATCAAATTAAAATTGAATTCCAACTCATCAAAACATCACTCAACTATCAACAAAAACAAACTACTTATAATAATATAAAACAAAAAATAGAAAACTGAAACAAATCTTTTAAAGAAACCCCTAAACTCTTCTACAAAAAAATATTAGAAAAATACAACAATCTTAATTTAGATAGACTCTTAATTAATGATTCTCTTCTTACAGAACATGATGAAATACTAAATGCAGTTCAACATTATTTTTCTAACTACTTCGAAAACATACCTATACAACTAATTCCACTATTCTCAGAATTTTTTAAACTATATCAACTACATCCAGAACTGGAAATTTATTATCAAAATCTATTTACAGAAATCTCAGATCAAGAATGGCAAGAAATTATTGCTAGTTTACCTAACTAAAAAGCAGCTGGCCCTTCTGAAATCTGCTATAAATATATAAAATATTCAAACCAGCAAATACAAAAAATTCTTAAAACTTTTATAAACAAATGCTTTCAACTTCAAAAAGTTCCTACTGAATAGAAATCATCTAACATCTTTTTAATTCCAAAAAAATCAAATTGGGACTTTACTCTTAACCAAGTAGGGCCTATCTCTATTATAGAACTTTTCAAAAAAACACTCACAAAAATATTCACCAAATGTCTCGACAAAATAATCATATCGAATAACCTTCTCTCAAACTTAAACTTTGCTAGAACAAAAAATTCATCTACATATACACCAATTCAAATTCTGCATAATACAATCAAATATTACATATCATAAAACAAAGAAGTATAAATTTTATTTCAAGATATGTCTAAAGCATTTGACAAAATAAATATATCTTATCTTCAAGAAATATGCAAAAAAATAGGTATTCTGACTAAAGGTATAAACTTTATTACTGAACTACATACTTCTCACCAAGCAAAAATCATTACAGCACATGGCCTCACTACTCCTATTCAACTCAATTCCAGAATTGAACAAGGAGAAACATACTCATCACTTCTTTAGAAAATTTACTATGATCCTATCCTTATCTTTATTTCACAAAAATACTATAATTATCTCTTAAAAATCTCATCTCAATCTCCAATTGATCTTATTTATAATGCCACTCTGACCTCTATTACTGTACCTCTACTAGCATATATGGATAATACAGTATGGCATTGCAAAAACTAACAAACTATGCAATATATTCTTAATAATATATCAAAACTATATGAGGTTAATAACCTAACAATCAACTCTTCAAAATCAGATCTATTACATATTAAACCTAAATCACAAAAATTAACAACTATTATACTACTAACATACAAAAATCAAACTGTTATGCCTAAAAATCCTGAAGAAATCATAAGATATCTTAGTATCTTCTTTGATAGAAAAGGCTCTACCAAACCAACTCTTGAAACAGTATATAACAAAATTGAAAACTTTCTTTCACTAATTAAATATAAAAAACTTACTCTATTACAAATCTCTTCGTTATTCAATCTTATACTCCAACTCTTCTTAGAATATTTACTATAAATAGTATCTATTTATAAAAATATACAAACAAAATTCTCTCACCTTCTTAAAACTCAAACCAAAAAAATGTTCTCTCTATCAAAAAATACTAACAATATTGTTTTAACAAATCCACTTTATTTAATCTTCCAACTCTTAATAATATTATTCAAAAAGTTAGTGCCTCAAATCTTAAATACATTTTTACAACAAATCCACTTCTTAAAAATATTGAAATACTACGAATTAAATCTTAGCTAACAAAAATCTGGTATCCTAAATTAACAAAAAAATTACTACTTACTCATATCTACAAAATATACAATTATACTATAATTTTTAATCTTTCTCAACTTGCTAAAAATAATATCACACTATCTAACTATTCTTAATTTTCAACATACCCTTCATCAATTCCTAAAAATTCACATCTAATCTATTGTTACAAGTGGTATAGCCTTCTTAGTATATCACAAGTAATATAAGACACGGAAGAGGAACTCTCAACAGTGTCAAAGTAGAATATTACTTCACAAAGACAATTCGTTAGAAAGATTATATTAAAGCAAAGAGTATTCTTTATTTACGATACAATATCAATAATACAAGACTATCTATTAGTGTCT